AGAGTATTTTTTGTTGGAATCATTTTGCTTTCATACTATCAGTATTTCTATGCAAAAACAGTTAGCGAGGAACCCGTCACATACGAAAAATTTGTTTCAAACCTGGGTGCAAATAAGTTTGTTATTCCGTGATATTTGTTCCTACCGCTTATGTGAGTGATGATAGATACACATTCGACTAAACCGTTTGCTAATCACATTTTCAAAATTTACCCAAGCATTTTGTATTACTCAAGTGCTTCCCTTCACTTTTTCTAAAAGCGATCTGACGCAGTCGCCTCTAAAACAAAGACTCCATTCACTTATGCCCTATCTATTGGGTAATTCGAGTCGGTCTGCAAATGCAAACATTACAGGGCGATTTTTTGTACTTGACATTAGATTAGTAAGAATGCGCAAATTTCATAGAAAAGTAAGTATACAGGAACATATGAAATGACAGATGTTTCCATTTTTTGATGCACGAAAATTCTAGATGGGATCGCTTTCTGTGCAACCTGCTATAAAAGGAAAGAAGCTTTGCTGAAGACACTATTTAAATAATGTTGCCAGATAGTGTTTTACGCACAATTAACTTGGCAATGGCCACAAAATGAAGTGAGCTCTAAAAAGAGACAAAGTTAGTTTGGTGCAGTCCTTAGCGCGGTTACATTTAAATCAAAAGGTAATTGTTTTGATACCAAAGTGTTTCATAAATCTGTGCGAATGGACCTTGTCAAGGTAGTGTATTTTTGTAGTAGTGATATGTTTATAGATAGAGGAATTACTTGCTCTAAAAAGGCAGAAAATTATCCCCTGATTCCACTGGTTTTCGTAGCTTCCCATTCATACATCAAACTATACAACCAACCACTATCTCGAGTTCCATCATCAACAGCAGAAGTTTGGATTGTAATGCTACCATCTTTGTACATACAACATTCTCACCTACCGACAGTACCATCAGCTAATTTCTTCATTCTTCGCATTCTACTCTAAAGCTTCCAAAAGCTTTTATCTATTTATAAAAAAGAAGGTTCATACAGAAGAAAGGAGATAAGGAGTTCAGAAGTTAAGAGATAAAGAGACTATTACAAAAGCAAAAAATTTCTAAGTCAAGAGAAAGTTTTGAATTCAGAAGCAGTGACCAGCCTGATGAAGGTATAAAGGATAGAAACAAGTACA